TGGACCTCGACTCCGTCTCGGTCCATAAACACGCAAAAAAAGAACTTGGCCAATATCCAGCCATCTTGACCTCACACTTGGTCAATAACCCATACGTATGTGGAGGTGAAGTATTTTTGTGCAATGTAACATGAAGAAGGCAGTGTAATTTGGCTCCAGGCTCAACGCCTAATTTACCAAAAACAAACATGGACGATTTTGAAGAGAAGGTAAATCTCTTCGTTTCTCGTGGATCGCTTTTTATTATCCTTCATACTATTTAAAACAATTTTCATTTTTGTGAAATATCATGTCTCGAAGATCAAAAACCAGCCTAGAAAACGACATAGAACGATCTCGATGGGAAGAAAAATGGGAGCATATTCCAAAATTGGTGGAACAGCTTTCGAGTCGGACGACAAGTGAATCAAGTATAGGTAAGTTAAGTTGTCCAAGCTTCTCATGCACATAAACATACCTGGATTGTTAAAATAGTCCAGATCCATCGCGGTTCACCTGATTTACATTTCTAAATTAAGCGATATACAAAAGATGGAGGGTAGCTCGCGGGGATAATAGGCACAGGGGAAGATCCAGGATTTTTCAAAAGGGGGTTCACGGCTGGTACCTTGAGGTTGCAGAATCAATGGATCACGTGTGCTAAAGGCACCTGCAGTCTAGTGTAGATCGATACTCTTGATCGATGCTCTCGATCGATACCCTTGATCAACATCTTGATCCATACTCGATTGACATCCTAATCGATACTCAGTCGACACTTGATCAACAGCCGGTCAATAGTTGGTCAAGTATCGACCGACTCATATGCATAGATTGAAAATTAGTTGACTCCCAACCAACTGTCGACCGAGATGTCGCTCGAGTGTTGACTGAGTGTCAACCGATGTGTTGATGGAGTGCCAATTGAATATTGATTGAGTGTCAATCAAGTGTCAATCAGGAGTATTGATCAAGGATATCGATCGACACTTGACCATGGATGCTTTAGTAATTTGCAAATTATTTGAGAATTAGGATCTAATTTAAATTGTTACTCTAGAAATACCAGTAAATATACCACAAGCTGGAAATTATTTCAATACAAATGAAGTGCCTGTCCAGAGTGTTTGCCTTAAATTCTGCCAAAATATTCACAATGTTTTTCATTTTTTTTGCCTCCTCCCTAAATCTGCCATTGATTTTGTATGTTTATACCAATATGAAATTGTCACCCTAAGGGAGGCTTGGCCAAATGTGCTATGCAGCTGTTTTACAGGGCTAAAAATTTTAGCAGTTATTTAATAACTGCTTCCTTTGTAATTTACTAATAATTATTATTTTAAACTGAAGAAGATCTTTTGCCCTGGAAATTTCACTAATTTGATTCATTATGGTATTCAGATGCTGTGAAAAAGCTGTTGATCAGTGAATCTCAGCTGGAAATATACCTCAGAGATATTCCCCTTGGGACATCTGATCTTGTACAAGCCAAGAAAGCTTTGGAGGAGACTGTGAAGAACCTTGAAAAACTGGTTTCTCAAGATAAACTGGGAAAGGTATGCTGTACATTACAGTGAAAGTGTACGTATGTTCAGGGTGTTTTATGATAAAATGTTAATTATTTTTTCATTGGAGAGTGCAATTCAAATCCTTGTAAGACAGATATAATATACAGTGAAAGCTACATTAAGCGGACTCCATATTATTATTAAGCTGACACTCTCTATTAAGTGGAAACCAGCTTAATTCCCTAAATTTTCTTCCCATATTTGCTGTAAAATGAACCTGCATTCAGCATACACCTCTGTTGAGCGGATGCGCACACCAATATTAAGCCATTTTGTGACACGAAACCTGCAGTAATCGGACACTTCAAGGGCTTTTTACTTCTAAAAGCTCAGCACAGACTCCTTTAACATTGTTCACCGATGTCGTTTTAAAGCTAAGTAGATTATTCCAGATTGACGCATAATTTGACTGACTGGACATTGTGCTATGAACAGTCTTTGATCATACACTGTGTTACAGTGTGTTACAAAAAGGTTAATAATTAACTATTATTGCACAATATATTAGAACCTGTTTAAAGCAGACACCCTGTATTAAGCAGACAATAGTGAATGTCCCAACGGTGTCCGCTTAAAACACGTTTCACTGTAACATACAATTATCTAGTATGTTAAAAGTGTTCATGGCACGTGAATTTTGTTAACATTTGTGCATAAAATGACCCTTCTTGATCCCTCCCTGACCCTCCCTTTCTACTCTCTTAGAATGGACTTGACAGTCAATAGTTATAGATTAATTTAATTCCTTTGTCCAATTGTAAACAGGCAGAGAGAAGCCAAGAGGCATTAATGCTGCTTTGTAAAGCTCACTTTCTGTTAGACGACTTCCATAGCTGTGTCAAATGCTGTAACCAGGCCGCAGCAAGTGACATCCACATTGACTCACAGTCAAAAAGGAAATCAAAACTGGTCGCAGATGGATTTGCTTTCAAAGGTACATGAACATGTTTATAAACAAGTGAAACTTTTTCTTTGTTTGTTTTGTTTCTAAAGACATTCTGATGAATTTGCTAGCCCGAATGTCATTCTGTCTATCCCCTAAAAATTTCTTGGTAGCAAGATTAATTTAAGACATTTCCCCGAAAAAACTTATAACTTGCCCGTTGGACAAGTGAAGGATAATAATCCACTGGCCCTGGGCTTTCGTACATGATTTACTTTGCATGTTGTTTAAGTACATATTTTCACACTTGTTTTGGAAAATGTTAAGAGATACTTGACGTGTTTTTGTACCCAATTGTGTACCACTTTTTGGGGGGTTGAGAAGAGGCAAAATTGGCAGTCTCCAAAAATTTTGAGTTTTTTAGGTTGTCTTCCCTTTTAATGCCATCAAACATTTCTTTTTCACAGCCATGGCTCTTGAGCAGTTGCAGTCAGCTGGAGAGATGGAAATCAGTGATGATGACATCATATCTTGTTATGAATGTGCAGGGGACATAGGTCTGTGGCTCACCACTGACCAGACAACCTCACAAAGGCCCACAGTTACTTCACAGTCCATGCCGTTAGGAAGAACATTAGAGATAGCTCTCCAAAGGGCTCCAGTGTTGCTAATTAAAAATGGGTAAGACAGATCATTGCTACATTACTGTAAGTATTCCATAAAATCTGGCAATAAACTAATTGTGGACTAAAAGTTCAATTTAAAATGACAAAGTCTCTTGCACATAAATTCAGTAAAGCTGGCAAAATAGTAATATGTAACAGTGTGCAATGCAGTATGCAGTGGCAGTATGTATTGTATTACAAACAAATTCTTGCCTTAAGTTTTTACACATGAAATTTAAACTTTTTTTGCAGACAGAGTTGTAATTTGCTTTTGTCTCTTAATCTTGCGATAGGAAAGTGAAAGAAGGAGTCGACAGGTTTCGGCATCTGTTGAGAGTCATGGAGACCAAAGCCACAGTTGGTTTAAGAAAGGTACAATTATCATAATACCTTTAACATTTTTGGTTACAACTTATTTGTACTTAATTTTTCTGCTGGCAATTTTCTGTTTTGGTTTAGACTATTTGTTTTTTAGGTAACTTTTAATACCAATAAGTTGATTTCTCTATTCTTTTGTCATAAAAAATACTAAAAATGTTTCAATTAGTTTACCATACTTATGCACAATTTTATATAAAAATAGTTTAAAAATCAGTTTCTTTTATTCTAAACAGGGATTAGCTAAGCAGCTGTCGCAGGTTCTTTTAAGGGGAGTTTGTGAGAGGACTTATGAGAAACCTTTGAACCTGCTGCCTAGTTCACCTATGATCAGCTCAACGTCATCACTGAAGGCTGCATCCAAAATAGACTTGAAGTCCACCATCATTAATGTTATTACTCACAAGTATGCAGCATTCTCTCTAAAGCCACAAATGTACAGTGGAGACAGGTACTATTAAAGCCTTTAAGTGTTATCCTGATTAGATGTATTATATTTTCTCAGCCAGGGACTTTAGGACTCGCCTCCCACCAATGTGGCCTGGGTTAGATTCCGTCTCAGTGCCATGCATGGGCTGAGTTTGTTGTTGGTTCCCACCTTGCTCCAAGGGTTTTTCTCTGAGTTCTTCAGTTTTTTCGTCTCATGCAATTATAAGTTGGACTGTTATCAATGTTGTTGTCGTTATTGAATAACTCTAATCAAGTTCATTTTTCTCTCAGTTTGTTTTTCCCCAGAAATGAAACAGAGGAGAGTTTGCTTCTCTTGCTTTTGGAGGAAGCTATGGTACGTGTCAAAAAGTTGTCAATCTTTTGTTGTTGCATGGCTACTAACATCAATCATTTGTCAAGTGGGACCCATTAGTTTAAAAAAGCCTGCGTCTCCCATAGGTTCCATGCCTTGCAAGAAAGACATATGAGATTCAATTAAATCCAAGTTAATGGCATGAAACTCAGGCAAACTCCTAGATGGGTTATAATATCGGAATAAAATTGTTTTTATATTGTCAACTCAGATTTCATAGGAAGGCTGTTGTTACAGCTTTGCAGAACTTTGTCTGGCTTTCTCAAACTCATTAATAATAATTTATTCATCAAGTTTAACCCTTTGACTCCTGTGCTGGCCGTAACCGGCCGTGACGTGCCTTGGCCTTTCTTCCACTTCTGGCGTCATCACCTTGGACCAAAATTGGCATCACCTATGCTCAACTTCTGCAGGGGGAAAAGATCTTTCCAATGATACGTAGATCAGAGTGATCGGCCCAATGGAGCCTGAGGTACATGTATGCACGAAAATGCTCAAAAAGTTGAGGGAAAAACTCAGAGCAAAATTTCCTGCCACTACACATGGCTACTCCATGGTAAAAATTGCCCATCACGATGATGCTCTCTCAGAATTTTTTAAACTGGAAGCAAGCCCAGTAGAAGGTCAATCACTGCAGCGAAAAGAAAAGAAAAGGACAAAAAGGAAAGGCGAAAAAAAAAAATTACAAAAATCAAAAAGCCTAAAGACGTAGGTCACTTTCTCGTCCAAAAACTCAAATCTCAAAATTTTGATTTCTGCATATGCCCGAGCAAAAATGTCGTAAAACGCAATGCTATTGGAAAGATAGGCATGCTGTCATGTTGCAAATGCCTTTTTGAGTAGATTGGAGCTAATTTGGTCCATATCCAGCCTGAAAATCTCCAAAATGTCCAAAAATGCATTTTTGGCAAAAAGCTCCAGGAGTCAATGGGTTAAACAAAAGAAATCATAACCACAAGGGTGTTTGGATATCTGTGCCTGATATTTTATTTATCACTGATTTTTGCAATTTTAGTTCTGTTTTCTCTTTAGGTTTAGTTTTGATCCAGAAGACATAAAAAATGCTCATGACAATGTTTTACTATACATGTATTTCCAAATACCTTTAAGTTCACTACAAATACTCCACTGGGCATTGTATTTTCAATTCCCTTCTCACTGTTGGTAGTGCTGTATTTTGCTGTTGGAAATGCTGTTAAGTATTGGTCTTTTGGTTTGATATATTACATAAAACACTGTTCAACACAAAACTCTAACAGGCTAAGGTTGAATAAGTATCAGTTGATTCATTAAGTGGAATTTGGAACATTTGTGTCATAAACACAAATCCTTTTATCAGTGGTGTCTTTTTCTATGTATTTGAGAAATAAATAGTTTCTTTGAAAACTTCTTTGAGTGTCTCAAAAACTTCAAACTGGAAACTAGATTCTCAGTTTTCAAAAGCAGCAATGAAATGAGATCAAGTTTCACATCAGGACTTTCAACTTAAATTTGACCAGTACTAATACTGGAGTAGGAGCAGCAAAATTAAATAACTTATGAGCCTGAGAAATTGCATCTGTTATATGCATAGTTTGTCTATGGTGCCATAGAATTTAATTGGTTTTAGGTTTCCAAGGATGCAGAGCTCAGTCAAGCTCCTGAAAAATTAGCAGCACGACAACGAACAGTGGTAGACTCTGAGAGTGTGTATGACTTATTAACAGTGGCACTCGTCCGGAGATCACAGTATGGCATGTTAGCAGAGGTTAGCCAGTGTCAATAAACTTTTTTGACTGCATTTGTTGACTTTCATGGTGTTTAAGATGAATTCCATTCAAAGTTCAAGCAATTACTAAAAATCTACTCACAGCACAGTAACTTTTTGAATACTATTTAAAACATCTCACTGTAATTAATTTCTTTAAATGACCCCGCAAGTAAAGTCGCAAGCATGTCAAATGTCAAACCTCATAAGAACGCTTAATATGTGTGTTATTGTGTTTTTAACTAATTAACGCGAAACGTCCGTTTTCACTGAAATATGGATAACTTCACATTCAATTTCCTCTCAGGGGTCAGCTTGAGAGGTTAAATCTCAATGAGTTCTTTTTACCTTTACTTAAAACATTACCGTGCTGTTAGGTTTTTTGGTTACAACTTTATTTTTGCCATTATTGCTTGACTGTTCTGCGGAAATCATCTTAATTAAATCTTATCAGACAAGATTAAGTATAATAACAGGAATTAGTATATACCACACAAGTGAATAGTGCTTTTTGGGAGCTCTGATTGGTTAACTCGGGGGTGATTAGCAAGTACTATTCACCTCCGAGAAGCTGGCACGAGAGATTTTAAAATTTCTGACCCCTTGTCACACATAAAATAGCGTTTTAGTCTGCCAATTCAGCTTGTGTGGTATATACTAAAACAATTATTCACCTCAGTGTCAATGAAAGCGATGGATATTTACCTGCACTTCGGTGAATAATAATTGTTACTGTAATTATTAAGGCAGAGGTTTCTGTTACTTAGCTTGAGTAGCTTTGTCTTGAGGAATCAAGCTAAATTAAGTGCATGATGTAGCCACTGCCCTCTGTTTCACTGTTCTGTTTGAATGTTTTTCAGTGTTTAGACAGAGGAATGAAGGTTGCATTTGAAGAGTTTCATCTGTGGTTTCAGTTTGGCCTTTCTCTCATCAGTGCTGGCAAAGTATGCTTTGTTTTTATACAGCTGTTCTGAGAAAAGTTATCCTACTAAAGCTTTAGAGTGTGTGGGACAAAGATTTGGAGAGTTTTTTGTTTTGTCACTCACCATATTTTTTTTTTCTTTTTTTTTTGTCTTATACCCAGCTAGGCAAGCTGCTGTCCAGGCTAGTTAAAAAGTCTCTCTCAATACTTCTAGTGTTTGGTTTTTAACTAGTTTCAGTTAAGTTGCAGTCAGTGAATAAAACATCACTAAAACTCATCTTGTTTACATTCGTCAGTATGATAGAGCCCTGTTGGTCCTTAAGCAGTGTCATCAGCTCAGACCAGAAGATTCTTTGGTTTGCCTTTACGCTGCCAAGCTCTGCTTCAACAACCTTCACATGGTATACTGATATATGTTTCTGTCTGTCCTGCTCTTGTAGAATGCATGAATGTACAGAGACCTAAATTGAGTTAAGGATTACAGAGTGCAAGCAAACCCAGTCATGCACTCACTCCGTGTTGTTTGATGCGAATTCTAATGTTTATTTTCCGTAAACTTTTATTGTTAGCTACAGTCCGTTAACCTTACATTTCTGAAAAAGGACTTCACAGTTTGGACAGTTTTCTATACATTTTGTCTGTGAAATTAAGTCACAGGTTAAGGGGAGTTTGACTGGTTTAACATGGAAAACTAGCAGAATGTAATGTAAACTGGTTACTTTAGAAGTGTGACAAAATAAGATTGCTTGCATTGAAAACGTTCACAAAAAAGACTGGACAGATAGAACAGAAGAATAGTGTCTGTAACCAAGTTATTGGGAAAGAATGTCGATGATATTATAGATTTGATGTACCACTTTGGTCCATCAGCATGGTGGCCGTAAAGCTTAAAAGAAGTAGCAACCCTGTTCAGCACAATGTAATACATTCTTCATCAGATTGCACTTGTGCTTTTCTTTTAAAGATTGATGAAGGGATAAAGTTTGCTAAGACGGTGGTTGCCATGGGAGATGAAAAGGAACTCTCGTCCAGAGGATACCTGGCTCTTGGTATCGGCTACAGTCTGCTGGCAAGTGAAGGTAACGTGCTTGTTATTTTAGGAACCCCGGCAGATGGACTTAAGGTGTATCAAAACAGTTTCCAGCACTTTCCAAGACTTCGATTTTGACGGGTCATTACAACCACTCTTCATCAATTGATGCTACAATCATGGTATCAAAAGCCTGCCCAATCATTGGTGAACATGCTGTTATCATTTTGGTTACACGATAGGTTACCATAGCAACAATATGACCTGCTAAAGACACCCTTAATTACAGCTTTAGGGGCTTATTGTTGAAAAGCACCACGGTGAATTTTTTTTTAATATTATCAAATTTTGATAATACTCTCCGATTGGTTGTTTCTCGGTTTTGAATTTTTCCGCGAAAATAACGACCATCAGAAGCGCTTCACGGATCTCCATAGAGCTACGTCATCAGTTTGGAATGTTTCTTGTAGAATCTCAGGGCGAGGGAGGAATATTGATGGCGAGCTTGTTTACTTAAGCTAAGCAAGGATATCTTAATCGACAGTTAGTATGGGAACTGTTTAAACTTTCAAACGGAATCTGTGAATCGCTTTTTAATGTTTTGTAACTTCCTTGCAGCGTGTCTCAGAGGAGAGCGTCAGCAGCTTCAGAAACAAGCAATCGATGCTCTTCAGAAGTAAGTGAATTCTCCTTACCTGTTACTATACGTTTCCTCTTTATTTTAGTTATGAGAGATTGGTGCGACATGAAGAGAATTTCCACGGCTTGATTTTTTTCTTTATTTTCCTGTTTTATCAGGGGACACAATTTAGATCCTGACGACAGTGAAGTGTTGTTTCACCTCGCTCTTAACCAAGCCCTGATGAGACAGGTCTGTTGCAATGTTTAAGAAAAGAAATAGATCTATATGTTCTCACACGCAGTTTTGATATATGCAATCGATGCATCACTGTTAGGGAAGACGCGCTGCACCTAATGAACAGTCAACGAGAGGTCCGGGTTTGATTCCTGCAGGGCTGGGCAAGACACTGAACTCTACTCTTACGGTAGCTCTCTCCGTCTAGAAGGAAAATAAATTGGCAACGGCAAACCGTTACGACAATCGGACAAACTGTCTTTCTAAGGGAAAAGGGGACAGGACATGCGGTGGATTAGCATCAAACTTCAACGCTGAAAAGACTATTTGCAGCGCTTTAACTACACTAGTTACTTTTATGCTGACCATCCATGACTTCAGGTCTTTCTCAGAGGTACACGTTGTTATAAAACGTTTCTCTTAATCTTATTTTCCTAGATGACAAAGGCACTGAAGAACATCAGAAACGCTCTTAAAATGGACATGAATCAATCCTTCTTCCTGCATCTCTTAGCTCTTATACTTTCTTCTCAGAAAAAGGTAAGTTTAGTCAAAATATGAATTCTCCCAGCTGAATGTCATGCATTTGTTTCATGTTAGTTGTGAGAATTTGGTCTTACATGAAGACAATATCCGGCAGTTGATGATTCTCGTCATTCTCGTCACCTGTCGGCGTGATAGCATATTGTGTAGTGAGGAGAAGATAGATTCTGATGTTCATGTTCACTTGTAGTTTGTTGAAGCTTTGGAGGTCTGTGATGCCGCCCTCATGGAATTCCCAGACGACTTCAGGTTTGTGTTTCACCTCAGTTTTTTGGAGCTTTCGTGGAGAGTTGAAGAATAACTCTGCCCATCATAAAAGAAACTTACAGAAGGAAGAAGGAAGAAATTGCCTAAATGTAGACTAAATTTCATACAAAACCACCACGATAACAATAGACAAAAAGACGCCTGACCATCTCCATCCTTCCTGACCCTTCCTGTTTTATTTTTAGTTTGCTTCTTACGAAGGTCAAACTGGAACAGACATGTGTAGGAGGAGACCAAGCGTTGATTACGTGCAAGCGGCTTTTGGAGACCTGGAAACTAGTGTACGAGTCTGACCTCTCAGGGTGAGTTTGGGGGTCCGTCATTAGTGTGGAATTTCTGTTGGAGTTGAATACCAGACATCTCTCTTGTGGGGACGAATTTCGCGTGCGAAGAACACGTTTATTTGTTTAGCTAGTGTCCTTTACCCAAGAGCAATTTCTGATTAAATTGTGGGACATTTTCCTTGCTGCTGTACGCATAGTAAATCTTGTATGGGCGATAAAAGTAGTTGAGACACTTTGAATCACACTTAACAAATAAAGAAGCCTCGACTGTGCTCTGTTCTGTTTTATAAAATGTTCGAGTAATTGCGCGCGCTGTGATTGGTCAGTTCGAGTTCATTATAGCTCCATAAAGCATTCTTCTTACGTCACGCGCGTGCATTATAACTCAACATATGCACGCAAGCTACGTCACGAAAATTTTGCCCTGGACAAAAAGGGAACGGTTTTACTTTTCATTCAGCATTTAAGCCAATAAAAAGAAAGCATGTACATGTAAGGAGAATACTTATTTTGATTAATTAAAATTCGCAA